ATAGGCTCATATCTTTTGGATCATTTGGATTAAGGAGTCAAATATGGCCTCTAGATTGTGATGACATTGGCATTGATGCAATTACCATTAAACCAGGTATGACACAAAAAAACTTTTCTGAGATTATAAAGCTGAACAACTTGAATAGTGAGATTAATTAACACTTGGCTGATAGAAGGAACTTCATATATTTGGATAATTATTCTGATTTTAATTGCTCTCTAGTTTAATTTTGCTGCAGATAACTTTGTCGTACATAAAAAAAAAGAAAAACTTTCATATATAACCACTTAAAAATAATTATATATATATATATATTTTGTTATTAATAAGTTACTTAATGAGCATTACACCTTCTAACCTTTTAATAATATATATAACATCTAACCTTTAATTTAATAATATAACTCCTAACCTTTCATATTCATAACCTTCAAAATATTTAATATAAAAATTATAACTCCTAAATATTACACCTATAAAAATTCACTTTGAGACATTGCATGATAGTCATTTTTTTTTATTTTCTTATTCTTCATTTTTTGTTTCTTTGATTTGTTAATTTCATTTGTCTTATTTGATTTGATTTTTGCAGGAGAGGGATGTATAATGAAAAACATTATATATTTTGCATATTTTGATTTTGTGAGGTAAAATAATTTGACATGTCTAATTATCATTATCACTTTTGTTCTATTGTAATTACATATATATTTGATATTATTAGGTTAGATTGTTGATGATACAAATCATGATTTTTTTATTAAAAAAATAATTTGTTCATTTTCTTTTTTGCTTCTCTTTGTAGTTTTTTGAGATTTTTTTTTATTCTTGTAGTTTCTACCGACACTGATTGACTTTATTCACTTTGTAAATTTAAAGAATCGAATTATGTTATGTTGAAAATTCTTTCCTCTTCAGATCATATAGAACTAAATATTTTAAATATTTTTGCTTGATTAGTTAACTATAATTTTGTGTCTTTTTGTTGTTATTATTGTAAGGATTGTAATTATATTATATTGAGAACATGATCCTTCTTTCCCCTTCAAATCATATATAACTAAATATTTTAAATATTTTTTCTTGATTAATTAACTAATTTTATGTATGTTTATTGGTATCATTATAAGGATTGTTTATAGTTCTCCGGTTAAACCTCCGATGCAATAAGAGTTGATTGGTTCTTTATCAGATTTATTAGTTAATTGAAAAAACGTCAATATATCTTATTTCTAATTTCGTCTAACAATATCTTCCTCCTCACTAACTATAAAAATGTTATACAAATATATAATAAATATAAGTAATAAAAAAAGTAATATATCACATCTTAATATAAAGTAAATAAAATACTAAATATTAAATACAAATATTATATAGCTAAGAATTAAATAAATCGATTTCTCTTTTAATTTTGTATCTCACAATCACATAACAATGATATGATAAAAGTACATAGTTTAAACGTTGCATTATTTATTATATTATTTATGTATAGAAATTATCTATAGGCCAAATGTTTCACAATTTTGAGAATTCAATCAACAAAAAATTTTAATATTTTTTAATTTTATTTTAAAACATCCGTACGATTACTTTTTTTTTTTGATAATTTCAAAAAAAATTCTATTCCTTTTGATTAGCTTTTTAATTCTATGTCCCTTTCTAAATTTGTTTTTAATTAATTTTTCTCTTAATAGATATCTCTCCTATAATATAAAATAAGAGAAAAAGTATATATTTGTTCAAAATAATAGTAATTACTAAAAATAATGTTTATTATTAGAAGCATATTTGGAGACTTTTAATATTTTGAAATTTCTAAACTGATGTAAAAAGAAAATATGTCATATAATAAAATAAATCATAAAAATATGTAACATTTTTTTTTACCCTTTTCCTCTTATTTTTATATATTTATTTTTAATTTAATTTTTATCATAAACTCACACCTCTTCATCTTTCATAACCTCTATACTTTATTAATACTTACTATTAATACCTATAACTTCCAACTTTATATATTCATAACCTCAAATTACTTAATGTTTAAAATTTGTGACATCTTAAAAGTACATAAAAAATATTTCTAACCAAATATATTTATGTTTAGCTTAATTGTCCTCTACTTTAATCTTGTAATGCAAAAATCTATCGACAAAGACTGCTTTGAGTAATTATTTTTACTTCTAATAAGAATAAGATATATAAAAGAAAATAATTGATTATTTTTTTGCATGAAACTATAAGAGCAAGATCATTACTAAAAGTAAGACAAAAATAATTTTTGAAAATAGTAAAGTGTATTTGTAGGTACGCTTAGCGGGAGAGATAATCAAAATTATTATGAAGTTATTTTTAAATTTTAAATAAAATATGAATCATGAAAAATCTAATAAAAATTAACTAAGAGAATCATTTAAACATTTTGCTTAAATTAATAAAAAGCTAAAGACAAGCTAACTTGATTATGTTAAGATACGATGCTAATTGTTACTGTTTAAAATATATATATATATATATATATATATATATATATATATATATATAAATTAGTAAAATACTAAAGACGAGCAAACTTCATTCTCTTAATTACAATGCTAATTGTTTGTGTTTTATTAATAGAATTAAATAAGAAAAGACTGTAAAAAAAAGGAGACTAAAAAATAGCGTTGAAATAAATTTTAAAACAAAACTTAGAATTATAGAAGAGAATTTATCAAGGAAAAAATTAATACAGATAATCATTTCAAATATACTTATTACTTAACCACTCATCCTCCATTATAATGATTCTAAAAATTTACTTAGTTTTTTCTCCTACACTTTAATTATAAGAAAATATTATTTATCGGTAATAATTATAAATATTCATATTATTTGCGAACATTTTTTTATGTTTACTTTACTTAGAAAAAATTCAAGAGTCTAATTATAAGTTTTTAGTAGATATATAAGTCTTTTTAAAATCTTAACATAAAACCTTTAATCATTCATTTATAATTGTTCATTTATTACTTATTTTATTATGCATTTTAAAAATAATATATTATTTTTATGTTAATTCTATATCACTAAAAATTATTTTAACGAACTTAAATCATGTATTACTCATTTCCTTCCAAAGAATCAATATATAGAGAGAACTTTATATTTTAATATATAATTATTGAAGTACCTTTTTAAGTCTTCAAATTATAGATAGCTTATCTATTACGAATAATTTTTCATATTTCTAAGTCTGTTTTTGAATTTATTACTATTTTAATTCTTTTGATATTTTTAAAAAAATTTAAAAAACTAAAAATCTCACTTTAAATTTTTAACAAAACATCAAAGTTAACCATACTTAATTTTGAGAACTCATTCAAATGGATAATAAAGTCATAATTTCTTAATTATATATTATAACTAACATAAAAGAATAGGTATTATTCAACCAAGAAAAAGTATGGGTTTTTACCGTACTGCTAATTTAAGGTATTTATTTTTTGATAAAATTAATTCATGAATTGAGTTGAAATTACAAAGTTAAATAATAAAATTTATTATATAATCATTTTTGATTTAAAAATTAAAATAAAAATGAAAACTTTTAGACACCGCGCATAGCACGGCTAAATTTACTAGTTAATTAATACACGTCAGTAAGCTAACTAATAGTTAGTTACAGCCACCTCAACCTGCACTATATTCAACAAGCTATTCACTTTATTCTTCATCTTTTTCTTGGATGATGTAATGTAGACTAAAGTTTTTCACGAATCACTTGTGCTACCATTTAAAAATCACTTGTGCTACCATTTAAAAAGAACAAGTTTAAATTGAGCGGAGATCAAAATATTAAGTAATTTCTTTTTAATACGTGAGATAATAAATATTTCATAAAATTAATCGAGATATAAAATAAATTAATCCAAACAATATATGCATAGAAAAGATCTCTTTTTTTAAGAGATGAGAAATAACAAACACAAATGAAAATTAATTAAGGTGTGCACACAAACTGATATAAAGATATTATACTTGTGTTTAGAAATTTGATGTGATTCACTCAAAATAATTTTCTTCTAATAAATGTCATTTATTTGTTTAAGTACTCTTTTTTCTAGAGTGCGGTTCTTTTCGTTTTATGTGAATGTGAAATATTTTACGTATAGTATTATTTTTTTCCTTCTAAAATTGAACAAGGAAATAAAAAGAACAAGAATCCTACACGTTGACCACATACAACTTGTTGACTTCTTTGTAATAAAAACATGATTAAATAAAAGTCAACACACATATTGGTTTAACAAAGCTACACATCTTATGATTATGATATGCTTCTAATAATGCAAAACTTTACCACAAGTTCTATTTAATTAATCATAATATTTACTTAAACGTTGACATGATATAATGAACAAACACCTCATTTCCTTATTAATTAAATATTTGTAATTATTTAGTATTATGTTTTAACACATACAAATTTAAACAAAAACTAACTCTACATCAACTCTTTTTAATATAACGATCCGAGTTAATTGTGAGCACTTTAATTTATTTCACGAGTTATTTACTACTTATCACCATTTTGATAACCATATCGTTCAAATCAGTTTGCACAAAGTATTAAGCTAGTCTGCACGCACCTCAACTCCACAACACGAGGTAACTACTAGTCTTTTATCATTCTACCAAGTAACTATATTATTTTTATATCCGTCAAAACTTAAAATTTAAAATCTCATCGTTCTCAATCACTTCACTAATTACTATATATAATGGACCCTTTAAGTATCACCAAAGAAACTTGATTTTTCTTTTTTTCTTATTTATAATAGAAAATTCATTGTTAAAATACATATTTCGATTTTATGTGATATCCTTTTTGAAAAAAATATCGAGTTAAATTAAATGTGTCACGTAAATTTAGACAAAAATAGTATACGAGTAGCTACAAACAACCACCAGTGGAACCTTTCTCTTCTCTGCAAACAGAAACCGCCCAAAAACTTCTCTATATATATCTTCAAGAATCGCTAATTTTCTGTTGCAATTCTCTCTCAATAACTGCATTCAGTTTAAAGAGAAAGATCTCTTCATTTTTGAAGCTACATTGATCATTTCTTAGTCAGCTGCACTTCTTCTACTTCGTTTGGGTATCTCTGTTGTGTTCTCTTTCAACCCATTAATGGTGTTGATGTGAGAACAGAGGTGGGGTTGTTGAACTTTTTATTTTTTTTGGGCATTTCTGGTTTCTGGGTGTAGTGTTGATTGATATTCACGGACTTCTACTCTGTTTGTGTGCGTCAGTTGGATTTTTTGATCGAGATTGAAGTTTCATCGGAATTCAGGGAAATTGAATTTGGGTTTTTCTGCTAGTGTTGAAATATTGGAGTTTTGGGGTACATTTCTACATTTTCGATCAGCTATTAGCTATACATTTTATAGTTGTTTTTTTTTGAGTTTAAGAAGGAAATGCACGATGGTTTCTTGGCTGGATAGGACTGTATCAGCTTGTTGCCAACCTTTAGGTCGATATATCGGTTTGAGCAGCAGTGAAGATGGTGTACTGGGAGGTGAAGATTACCCATTGCTATGGTATAGAGACCTTGAGAAACATTCATGTGGCGAGTTCTCGTTTGCTGTGGTACAGGCTAATCAAGTATGCGAAGATTATGGCCACGTTGAACCAGGTCGTGAAGGTACCTTTGTTGGGGTTTATGATGGCCATGGTGGCCTTGATGCTTCAAGATTTGCCTGTGATAACCTTAGCCGCCATTTAATAAGTGAGATCAATTTTCTCTATTTTCTTGTTGCAGTTTTTTGACAATGGAATTTATGGTGTTTTTTCCTTTGCATTGTAAATTTTACTCTCGTAGTATTACTCTTGAAGTTTCTAGCTCTTTGATTTCGATTACTATTTGTTATTTCTTGTACTTCGATTGTATTATTATCTGCTTGTAGATACTGTTCGTTTTTTTGCAGCATATTTTGTCATGCTATTTTTAGTATCTTGTCGTGGCTTCTTCATTTGTAGTATTCCTGTACCCGGACTGCTTTATTATGCTTTTTTTATTTTAGCCGAGGGTCTATCGGGAACCTAACAAGGTAGGGATATGGTATGAGTACACACTACTCTCCCTAGACCCCCCTTGTGGGAAACCTTCTAAGATAGGGGTATGGTATGTTGTTGTTGTTGTTGTAGATACTGTTCGTTAATGATTTTTTTCTCTTAGTTTGTCTATAAGTAATTGTATAGTAGAAGGTTTCAATTGTCACCAAGGGTTTTGCAGTTTTCTCGCAGCTCAGGCTTTATTTGTTGCTGTAGTACTGGTTTATGTTTCTTCTTCAGAGTGACAAATAGAAACATAGAGGAACAGGATCATCTTTTTGGTACTCTTGAGAATTTTCAGGCTACGCAGCTAAACACAGTTTTTTACAGCGCTTGCTCGAGAAAAAGGAACAATAGATAAAGAAGTTCTTAATAATGCCTTCGCTGCAACTGAAGATGGCTTCCTTTCTATTGTGGAAAGGGAATTTCATGATGATCCAGAAATTGCGTCAACGGGGAGCTGCTGTCTGGTTGGTGTTATCTGGAAAAGGAGATTATATGTAGCTAACCTGGGTGACTGTAGAGCAGTATTAGGTCAAACAGGAATATTCAATAGGATTTTTGCTAAGCAATTGACTAATGATCATAATGTCAGGATCAAGGAGGTCAGGGATGAACTGAGAGCTCTGCACCCAGACGATCCAAACATTGTGACTTATGTCAGAAGAACATGGCGTGTTAAAAGCATTATACAGGTTTGCTTTTAAACACTAATATTCAACACAAACTTATTATGTTCTGTATCATTTTGAATTTTATATCTTGATATCTCATGACAGATGCTCATTCTTTTTAATCAAAAGCAATTTAGTTTCCATCATAGTCCTTAATGTTATCAGAAGATTAGTGAGCTTAAACTAAATTTGCGTAGTATTTATGAGGCTCTTAATTATAGTTTGTTGTCAGTGACATTTGGTGGCTTAATCCAAGAACAACTCTTTTTTAACTTGGGAAGTAATCTGCCATTATATCTGTTAAGTACATCCAAATATACTGAATAGAACTATATCTGCCTCGACCTTTTAACATATGTGTTTCCTTTTATGTTTATTTCTGCATCTTTTAGGTAACTAGAGCAATTGGAGATGCATTTCTGAAGAAGCCAGAATTTGCTATTGGTGCAATTCCTCTTAAGCGGCCAGTACTAAGAGCTGATCCATCTTTCTGTTCAAGAAACTTACAACCATGCGATAAATTTGTTATATTTGCTTCTGATGGGCTGTGGGATCTCTTAAGCAATCAAGAGGCTGTAAAAATTGTGCATGCCTACCCTAGACAGGTATCTGACATTTATTTGATAAAAATGTCATGTTTGTATGGTTAAAACTTATTATGTTTATCCAATATCAGGGCATAGCTAGAAGACTTGTTCTATCAGCCCTAAATGTGGCTGCACGTGCAAGAAAGTTGAAGTGCGATGACCTTATGAATTATGACAAAGGTGTCAGGAGGGCCTTTCATGATGATATAACAGTCGTAGTCATCTTTATAGATCACGAGAAGCTGAATGACAAATTAACTGCGCCTGGAATGTCAGTTCGAGGATATGTAGACACTCATCGACCATCAGATTTTAACATTGAGCAAGAGGTTGCTACAGAGACTGAACACACAGAGACTGAATCCACAGAGACTGAATCCACAGGGACTGAACCCACAGGGACTGAACCCACAGAGACTGAAGCCACAGGGATCGAACGCTCAGAGACCGAACCCACAAAGACCGAACCTACAGGGACTGAACCCACAGAGACCGAATGCTCAGAGACTGAACACACAGAGACCGAACCCACAGGGACTGAAGTCGCAGAGACCGAACCCACAAAGACTGAACTCACAGTGACAGTATAACAAGTTGTTTGCAGTTGTTCTTTTGTAGGGAAGCCTGGATCTCCCATTTTGATATACAGTCCAGATGAACAGCAAGACTATTAGGTTACCCATATGCCACCACCATCCAAATTTTTGAATGTACAAAGACATGCTGAGAAAACTGTCTCCTATTGTTTGTTTACCACAATATCTGTCAATGTAAGGCCATAAACACATTCTGTTTCAAGATGTATACACATGAACCCCACAATCTTGCCTTTTGAAGATTTCTTGCTTGTTCTAAAAATTGTCTCTATCTCTATCTCTTGCAAGGGTGGATTTTCATCTTATTCCCTTTGTCGCAAAATTACATCAAATTATTTTTATTTGTATATCGTAAATGTTATGGAATCCATTTGGCTTCTTCTGACGGTGCTAATAATGCTGTTGAGAACCTACTAAACCATAAATTTTTTCTTGTGCCCTTGTCTGCAACTATGCAAACATGGAATGAAATGTGGTGAAATTAAATCTTTTTTCTAAATTCTACAGAAGTGTTTTAGAACCGAGAAGGGAATTCCATATTTCTCTAAACTCTACTATTGGTTCAATAATATATTAAATGATTTTTCTTGACGGATAAGTCATTATCTTAAACGACATATCAAAATTAACCCAATTCAACTGACTCATATAGTATGGATGGTTTGGTCTCACTAAGTCATAAACAACAACATAGTGAGTGTAATTTCACAAGCGGAGTTTGGAGAAGATTGTGAGTACATAGCCTTATTACCCTACCTTGTATGAAAAAAAAGGTGGTTTTCGTAGGCCTTCGGCTCAAGTAAAACACATCAAAATCAAGAATGGGTAGGAAATACAGTAGCAAAGAAATCATGCTCAAAATAATTCGAATAAGAAACATTAGCCACAACAATATATGATAACTAAAGCAAAAGAATCAACAGGTAATAATAATTAAGTTTATACTAATTTGTTAAAGGTGATGAGGCTCAGGTCATTTGAGAATCCATTTGTTTATCAGGTTACATGTGGTTCGGTTGTACCACCAAATTGTGAAAAATAACGATAATTTTTTGGAGGTAGAATAAATATCTTTGATATTTATACTTAAAGAAAAATCTAGATAATTAGATGTTGATCTTCTTGCAAACATTGGAAAGTTGGCAGCCAAACCTAACAGTAACTCCAATTGTTCCTAATGTGCATCTTATGAAAGATGATGATGATTCCTTTGATGATCCAGATGGATACAGAAGGTTAGTTTGAAAGTTCAACTTGGCTCTTCTTGATGTTACTTTAGCAGTAATTGTTGTTAGTCGGTTCATATCTGCACCTACAATCAAACATTGTTCAGTTTTGGAACAAAATTCTATGTTATTTGAAAGGAGCTCCTGGACTTAGCATATTATATAGCAATCACAATCATGCTTGTATTGAGTATTTGCAGGTGCCGATTGGACTGGATCCAAAATTGATAGAAGATCTATTACAGGTATTGTGTCTTTGTTGGAGGGAACTTGGTGTTATGGAGAAGTAAGAAGCAAAGTGTTGTATCTCGACCCAGAGCAGAATCTAAAGAAAGAGCTATGTCACAGTCTACATGTAAAATTATGTGGATACATAATCTTCTTACTAAAATTGGGTTAAAGCATCACATATCAGCAAAACTCTGGTGTGATAATCAAACTGCTCTTCATATTGCCTTGAACCCTGTATCATGAAAGAACAAAACATATTGACTTTGATTGCCATTTTATTAGTGAGAAGATTCAGGAAAGGTTAATTTCCACCATGTTAGGATATAAGCGTCCACTAACACTCAATGAATCGGGTCTCTTGACACAGTAAGAACAATAATGCAAGCACAAACAGTAAGTAAAGCAACACAAGCACTTCACATGGAGAAGATTCAGGAAAGGCTAATTTCCACCGGCTATGTCCAGCTCATCACTTTGTCAATTTCTGATCTAAACAGAATTTGATCATCCCTAACTAACTTTACCATCTATATATCTCTTCAAGAATCGCTTATTTTCTGTTGCAATTCTCTCTCAATAACTGCATTCAGTTCAAAGAGAAAGATCTCATTTTCAATCTACATTTATCACTTTTTAGTCAGATGCAGTTCTTCTACTTCGTTTTGGTATCTCTGTTGTGTTTTCTTTCAACCCATTAATGGTGTTGATGTGAGAACAGTGGTGGGGTTGTTGAATTTTCTGTTTCTGGGCATTTCTGGTTTCTGGGTGTAGTGTTGATTGATATTCACGAACTTGTACTCTGTTTGTGTGTCAGTTGGATTCATTCTTGTGTTTTTTATCGACATTGAATTTTAGTGTTGTTTGTTCGGAATTCAGGGGAAATTGAATTTGGGTTTTTCTGCTAGTGTTGAATTATTGGAGTTTTGGGGTACATTTCTACATTTTCGATCAGCTATTAGCTATACATTTTTATTGTTCTGTGAGTTTAAGAAGGAAATGAAAGATGGTTTCGTGGCTGGATAGGACTGTAGCAGCTTGTTGCCAACCTTCTGATCGATATGTCGATTTTAGCAATGGTGAAGATGGTGTTCTGGGAGGTGAAGATTACCCATTGCTATGGTATAGAGACCTTGAGAAACATTCATGTGGCGAGTTCTCTTTTGCTATTGTACAGGCTAATCAAGTATGCGAAGATTATGGCCACGTTGAACCAGGTCGTGAAGGTACCTTTGTTGGGGTTTATGACGGCCATGGTGGCCTCGATGCTTCAAGATTTGCCTGTGATAACCTTAGCCGGCATTTAATAAGTGAGATCAACTTTCTCTATTTCCTTGTTGCAGTTTTTTGACAATGGAATTTATGGTGCTTTTCCTTTGCATTGTAAATTTTACTCTCGTAGTATTACTCTTGAAGTTTCTATTACTATTTGTTATTTCTTGTAGTTCGATTGTATTATAATCTGGTTGTATATACTGTTCATTTTTTTGCAGCATATTTTGTCATGCTATTTATAGTATCTTTTTGGTACTCTTGAGAATTTTCAGGCTAAGCAGTTAAACACATTTTTTTACAGTGCTTGCTCGAGAAAATGGAACAATAGATGAAGAAGTCCTTAATAATGCCTTTGCTGCAACTGAAGATGGCTTCCTTTCTATTGTGGAAAGGGAATTTCATATTCTTGATCCAGGAATTGCGTCAACGGGGTCCTGCTGTCTGGTTGGTGTTATCTGGAAACGGACGTTATATGTTGCTAACCTGGGGGACTCTAGAGCAGTATTATGTCATACAGGAAGATACAATAGGATTTCTGCTAAGCAATTGACTAATGATCATAATGTCAGGGATGAACTGAGAGCTCTTCACCCAGACGATCCAAACATTGTGATTGGTTTCGGGGGAAGAACATGGTGTATTAAAGGCATTATAAAGGTTTGCTTTTAAATACTAATATTGAACACAAACTTGGTGTGTTATGTATCATTTTGAATTTTATATTCTGATGTCTCATGACAGATGCTCATTCTTTTTAACCTCAAATATGCTTTTGAACACTGACCTACACAAAAATTGATTTGTCAACTTGGGAAGTAATCTGTCTCGGCCTTTTAATTTGCCTTTTAATATAGGTGTTTCCTTTTATGTTTGTTTCTGCATCTTTTAGGTAACTAGAGCAATTGGAGATGCATCTATGAAGAAGCCAGAATTTGCTCATGGTGTGATGAAACCTTTTAGGGGGCCAGTAGTAAGAGCTGATCCATCTGTCTCTTCAAGAAAGTTACAGCCATGCGATAGATTTGTTATATTTGCTTCTGCTGGGCTGTGGGATCTCTTAAGCAACGAAGAGGCTGTACAAATTGTGCATACCTACCCTAGACAGGTATCTGACATTTATTTGATCAAAATATCATGTTTGTATGGTTAAACTTATTTTGTTTATCCAAAATCAGGGCATAGCTAGAAGACTTGTTCTATCAGCCCTGAATGTGGCTGCACGTGCAAGAAAGTTGACGCGCGATGACCTTATGAATTTTGACAAAGGTGTCAGGAGGGCCTTTCATGATGATATAACAGTCGTGGTCATCTTTATTGATCACGAGAAGCTGAATGACAAATTAACTGTACCTGGCATGTCAGTTCGAGGATTTGTAGACACTCATCGACCAACAGATTTTAACATTGAGCAAGAGGTTGCTACAGAGACCGAACACACAGCAATCGAACCCACAGGGACTGAACCCACGGAGACTGAACCCACAGAGACTGAACCCACAGGGACCGAACCCACAGGGACCGAAGCCACAGGGACTGAACCCACAGAGACTGAACACACAGTGACCGAACCCACAGAGACCGAAACCACAGAGACTGAACTCACTGAGACGATATAACAAGTATTTGGCACTTGTTCTTTTCTAGGGAAGCCTGGATCTCCCATTATTGCCTCGTTTTACCAATTAACATTTTGATATACAGTCCAGATGATCAGCAAGACTATTAGGTTACCCATATCCAAATGGTCATCGGCAAATTTTGAATGTACAAACACTTGCTGAGGACACTACCTCCTATTGTTTGCTTACCACAATATATTTGAATGTAAGGCCATAAAAGTTGGCATTGTGATCGGAAAAAAAAAATACATTCTGTTTCAAGATGTATACACATTCTTGCCTTTAGAAGATTTCATGCTTGTTCTAAAAATTGTGCCCTTGTCTAAAACTATGCAAACATGGAATGAAATTTGGTGAAAATAAATCTTTTTTCTAAATTCAACAGAAGTGTTCGTAATGATCCCCAACCGATTTCAAATAACAAAATATTTTTTGAGATGATTTTCGATTATATTGGTAACTGAATTGAACTACAAACTAAGATAGTAACGGAAATAACAGAAAATGGGGAAGTCGAATAGTAGCTTCATGACTCGATAAAATCTGCAGAAATAGAAGAGAAATGGAATGAAAAAATTGTATAGAAGGAGAGATTTTGGAGAAGAACATACCGTGCAAATTCATGCCCTCTCTATTCTGTTAGTCAGTTAAATATACCATTTAATCAAATTGCCTGAGTTGGCAAGTCTTACTAATCCCAACCTTTGAAGCTCAGTAACTCGCAATAAACCTCGACCCTCCACGTGGTAATTATTATTACTACATTCTGAATAAACCCCAGCTCATGACAGTGTTTTAGAACCAAGAAGGAAAAGCCATATTTGTCTAAATTCTATTATTGGTTCAATAACTGAGATATAAAATTCTCTAGAGAGTCTCGAATAGTTATTTACTCAATTTTATGAAAATTCATAGGAGGTAATTCAATCAAACGATTAATATATTAAATGATTTTTCTTAAGGGATATGTCAAAATCTTAAACGACATATCAAAATGAATGCGAATAACCCAATTTAACTGACTCATATAGTATAAGATGGTTTTCTCTCACTGAGTCATAAACAACAACATAGCGAGTGTAATCTCAAAAGCGGAATTTGGAAAAAAGATGTGATTTACTATATGCCTTCGCTCAAGTAAAACATATCAAAGTCAAGTGAAAGCAGTAGCAACAAAAAAAATATGATAACTAAAGCAAAAGAATCAGCAGGTAATAACAACCAAGTTTATACTAATCTGTTACAAAAGTTGATGGGATTCAGGTCTTTTGAGAATCCATTAATTCATCGACAATGGGAATCCTGCTTGGCCTTCTCTCCTATGCCGAATTTGCATGTTCCCTCAAGTCTTTACTGCACACTAGGTTTCATACAAAGGACTTGGGCCAATTGAAGTACTTTTTGGGAGTAGAAGTGAACAAAAGCAAGATGGGAATTTTTCTGTCTCAGATAAAGTATTTAAGCTTCTTGACTTCGACAACACAAAATAATTATTTCAAAAAGAAAGATATTTATTGAATTGTGATCAATTTTAAAGGAAATAAGTTACTGATCTTAACAGAATCTGATCATCCCTAACTAACTTTACCACCTATCTCTTCAACAAAACCTTCTATATATCTCTTCAAGAATAGCTTATTTACTGTCGCAATTCTCTCTCAATAACTGCATTCAGTTCAAAGAGAAAGATCTCTTCTCCTCCTTCATTTTCAAGCTACATTGATCATTTCTTAGTCAGCTGCAGTTCTACTTCGTTTTGATATCTCTGTTGTGTTTTCTTTCAACCCATTAATGGTGTTGATGTGAGAACAGAGGTGGGGTTGTTGAATTTTCTGTTTCTGGGCATTTTTGGTTTCTGGGTGTAGTGTTGATTGATATTCACGAACTTGTACTCTGTTTGTGTGTGTCAGTTGGATTCTTTCTTGGGTTTTTTTTTATCCAGATTGAAGTTTTAGTGTTGTTTGTTCGGAATTCAGGGAAATTGAATTTGGGTTTTTCTGCTAGTGTTGAAATATTGTAGTTTTGGGGTATATTTCTACATTTTCGATCAGCTATTAGCTATACATTTTATAGTATTTTGAGTTTAAGAAGGAAATGAAAGATGGTTTCTTGGCTGGATAGGACTGTAGCAGCTTTTTGCCGACCTTTAGGTCGATATGTCGGTTTGAGCAGCAGTGAAGATGGTGTTCTGGGAGGTGAAGATTACCCATTGCTATGGCATAGAGACCTTGAGAAACATTCATGTGGGGAGTTCTCTTTTGCTATGGTACAGTCTAATGAAGTATGTGAAGATTATGGCCACGTTGAACCAGGTCGTGAAGGTACCTTTGTTGGGGTTTATGACGGCCATGGTGGCCTTGATGCTTCAAGATTTGCCTGTGATAACCTTAGCCGCCATTTAATAAGTGAGATCAACTTTCTCTATTTCCTTGCTTTTCTATTTATTTGTTGTTAAAATAAAATACTTGTTGCAGTCTTTTAACAATGGAATTTATGATTTTTTTTCCTTTGCATTGTAAATTTATGGTATTATGCTTTTTTTATCTGAAACCTTCCAAAGTAGGGGTATGGTATGTGTACACACTATTCTCCCAGACCCCCTTGTGGTATATTGTTGTTGTTGTGCTATAAATGTTATTGCCTCATAACAACAATTTATGATTTCAAGTTTTGGTAGAAATGATATTCATAGTGATTATGTGCAGAGTTGCAGCATTTTTCCATTCTGTTTATGCTCTATTGCATGTTGTAGCAGTGTTAGAAAATTTTTCTCTTAGTGTTAGTAAATGTTTCTCTTATCGCGCAGCTTCGGCTTTTTTTCTCCTTTATTTGTTGCTGTAGTACTGGTTTATGTTTCTTCTTCAGAGTGACAAACAGCAACATTAATTATCTTTTTGGTAGTCTTGAGATTTTTCAGGCTAAGCAGCTAAACACGCTTTTTTTTTACAGCGCTTGCTCGAGAAAAGGAAACAATAGATGAAGAAGTCCTTAATAATGCCTTCGCTGCAACTGAAGACGGCTTCCTTTCTATTGTGGAAAGGGAATTTCATGATGATCCAACAATTGCGACAACGGGGTGCTGCTGTCTGGTTGGAGTTATCTGGAGAAGGACATTATATGTTGCTAGCCTGGGTGACTGTAGAGCAGTATTAGGTCATACAGGAAGATACAATAGGATTTCTGCTAAGCAATTGACTAATGATCATAATGTCAGGATCAAGGAGGTCAGGGATGAACTGAGAGCTCTGCACCCAGACGATCCAGACATTGTGCGTCGTGTCGGAAGAACATGGCGTGTTAAAGGCATTATACAGGTTTGCTTTTAAATACTAATATTCAACACAAACTTATTCTGTTATCTGTTAATTCTAGTTTCTTCATCCAAGAGCAACACATTTTTAACCTCAAAAATTGATTTGTCAACTTGGGAAGTGATCTGCCATTATATCTGCCTCGGCCTTTCCTTTTATATTTGTTTCTGCATCTTTTAGGTAACTAGAGCAATTGGAGATGCATCTCTGAAGAAGCGAGAATTTGCTCATGGTGTAATGGAACCTTTTACGGGGCCAGTAGTAAGAGCTGATCCATCTGTCTCTTCAAGAAAGTTACAACCATGCGATAGATTTGTTATATTTGCTTCTGATGGGCTGTGGGATTTCTTAAGCAATGAAAAGGCTGTACGAATTGTGCATGCCTACCCTAGACAGGTATCTGACATTTATTTGATAAAAATGTCATGTTTGTATGGTTAAAACTTATTTTGTTTATCCAATATCAGGGCATAGCTAGAAGACTTGTTCTATCAGCCCTGAATGTGGCTGCACGTGCAAGAAAGTTGAAGTGCGATGACCTGATGAATTTTGACAAAGGTGTCAGGAGGGCCTTTCATGATGATATAACAGTCGTGGTCATCTTTATAGATCACGAGAAGCTGAATGACGAATTAACTGTGCCTGGAATGTCAGTTCGAGGATATGTAGACACTCATCGACCATCAGATTTTAATATTGAGCAAGAGGTTGCTACAGAGACCGAACACACACAGATAGAAGCCACAGGGACCGAACCCACAGGGACTGAAACCACAGGGAGTGAACCCACAAGGACCGAACGCTCAGAGACTGAAGCCACAGAGATCGAACCCACAGGGACTGAAACTACAAGGAGTGAACCCACAAGGACTGAACTCACAGAGACTGAAGCCACAGAGACCGAACCCACAGGGACTGAAACTACAGGGAGTGAACCCACAAGGACCGAACGCTCAGAGACTGAACTCACAGAGACTGAAGCCACAGAGACCGAACCCACAGGGATTGAAGCTACAGAGACCGAACCCACAAAGACTGAACTCACAGTGACAGTATAACAAGTTGTTTGCACTTGATCTCCCATTTTTGCCTTGTTTTACCAATTAACATTTTGATATACAGTCCAGATGAACAAACAAGACTATTAGGTTACCCATATGCCACCACCATCCAAATTTTTGAATGTACAAAGACATGCTGAGGAAACTACCTGTTATTGTTTGTTTACCACAATACATTCTGTTTCAAGATTTGTACATTCTTGCCTTTTCAAGATTTCTTGCTTGTTCTAAAAAAATTGTTATTTTCTAGTCTATAAATTTGCTGTGATGGGATTTAACTGCTAATATCTGGCCATTGGGCTACATCTACTCCGATTTTAAACGGAAAAAAAAGATGATCTAAATAAATCTTGTCTAAAAATTTTACCAAAGTGTTCAAGAATTAAGATGGCATTAGTTATTTGTCTAAAATTCTACTATTATTAGTTTAATAAATGAGATATAAAGTTCTCTTATGAGTCTCAATAGTTATGTACTCATTTTTTGAAAAATGATAGTAGAAGGTAGTTCAATAAAACAACCTTTTATGATAAGATTGATTTTCTTAAAAGGTATATCAAATCTTTTAAATTAAATAAGTAACGATAACTAAATAATATTTTATTTTATTTATTTTTTTTAGCTTTAATTATTGATCCTTATAGTTCTTCCGTTAAACTCATTCCAACATCACTTAATACTTAACTATTGTTGATCATTGTTTATATACTTTTCTTCCTTAATAATCTTCCTCCACAACCTTTTTACATTACGAAACTCTGTAAAGTTATATAATAATTTTTCTCCCATGTTTCGGTCATTTTCTCTATCATTTGTATACATGTATATGTGGTTTAAGTCTCAATCTTAGTATGTTTAGTGGTATAATGCTTGATACGAAAAAAGAATGATTATCTTTAAATTAGAAATATTTATCTCAATTTCTTAAGTTAATTATATGAGATATGATCACTTTGTCAGTTACTGATCATCCCTAACTAACTTTACCATCTATATATCGCTTAT